CTCTCTCTCTCTCTCTCTCTCTCTCTCTCTCTCTCTCTCTCTCTCTCTGTGTGTGTTGCAATGGCTAAGCGCCATTCTGTTGTACATAGGTACAATCTTGATCTACTCGTCAGTTAACAGACACAGGATGTTACCATTTCTTGGCTCTTGTGAATAGTCCAGCAATGCTGGGGTTCAGATGATTTTTTTCACGTGCTATTCTATTTCATTTGGATTTATACCTTTCAGTAGGATTTCTGGACCACATGTTCTGTTTACAACTTTTGGAGGAAACTCTACTGCTTCCCACAATGGCTGTGCTAACTCACAGTCACATTAGTAGTGGTTTTCTTCTCCACACCCTCACTGGGATTCTTACCCTTAGGCTTCTTGATAACAGCCATTTGAACTAGAGTGAGGCAGTTTGTGGTTGGTCATCATGGTTTTGAATTGCATTTGCCTGATGATTAGTGATATTGAGCATTTTAAAAAATATTTATGTTGGCCATTTGTGTTTGTCAGCTGTCCATCATTGTGACAGAATGCCCTAGATAAAGAACTTAGAAGGATGGGCATTGTATCTTGGCCCTGCTTTCAGAGGGTTCATTTCACTTGACTGGAGAGTGTAGTGGGGGCCTTTTCACCCCAGGCAGAAAAGGGAGAGAGGAGGGGCTGGGGTCCCCGTGTTCTTCCAGGGTACCCCCAAGAGCCTGATTTCTGCCTCTGTGACTTACTCCCTATAAAAGTTGTACTAGCTCCCCTGCCAGGAGTGCTGTGGGCTGAGGACCCAGCCTCAGATGGGCCTTTGGAGGACATTCCGGCCCTGAATTGTAGCACTATTTGCTTGGCTTCTTTTTGATACCTATTTAGCTCTGTTGCTCTCCCTTGAGTCTCAATAAGTAGGCCAGGCTGACTTTGAACTCTGAGTCCTCCTGCTTCAGCCTCCTGACTGGTGGAGTTACAAACATGCTTCACCATTTTGAAATTGGGTTGTCTTGTGATATTGAGATTTTAGAGATGTCAGCTACATATTTGTATATATTTCTCCTTCCTGGAGGTTTTCTTGCCATTCTTGGTACCTTCATTTGCTGTCTTAGTTTGATCATAATCCCATGTGCCTATTTTTGTGTCTTATTCCTAAAAATCATTGCTCATTCCAATGTCCAGAAGCCTTTTCCTATGTTTTCTTCCAGTGTTTTCATAGTTTCTGTCTTTTTTTTTTTTTTAATAACTGTATACACCTGGATAGAAACATATTGCATCTGGGCAGTGGTGGTGCATGCCTTTAATCCCAGCATTTGGGAAGCAGAGGCAAGCAGATCTCTGTGAGTTCGAGGCCAGCCTGGTCTACAGAGTAAATTCTAGGACAGGCTCCAAAGCTACACAAAGAAAACCTGTCTCAAAACAAAACAAACAAACAAACAAAAAACAAACAAACAAAAAACACATTGCAGGTCTACAAAGTGTAAGGTATTTGCTTTCTGTCTGTTGACTACAGGGCTGTTGATAACCAGGTGTATGTGGCTACAGCCTCTCCTGCCCGGGATGACAAAGCCTCATATGTGGTCTGGGGACACAGCACTGTTGTGGATCCTTGGTGAGTGTGTCTTAGGCTGCGCTCAGCTGGAAACTGAAAGATGACACAGGATTGTGTCCCCTGAAACGCCTCCTCTCTTTTACCCACATATCCCAACAGGCATAAGGGGGCTTCCACTTCCAATCCCTGTGAGGAAAGCCATCCTGCTTGCCAGGTTGTCCTCGGCCTTTGTCCTCTTTTGCTTGTCTAAGGAGCTGTCTGGCAATCATACAAAATAAGGAAGGCAGCAGCAGTGGGGTAGGCAGTTGGTTTTAGTAAAAGATTCCAGAATTCTTTGCTTTTGGCTAAAATTTAGGCTAAGTGACCGGTCCCAGGGTAGGAATGAGAAATAAGGCAAAAATGTTACTCCCCATGTAACAATTAGAAAGATAGGGGAGTGAGTTAAAGCAATGATTCTCAATCTGTGGGTCATGACCCTTTTGCAGGGATCTCTTATCAGGTATCCTGTATATCAGATATTTGCATTATGTGCATATATTTTATTATATATAATTATTATATATATTATCTGTAACAGCAAAATTAGTTATGAAGTAGCAGTGAAAACAATTTTATGGTTGGGGTCAGCACAACATGAGGAACCATATTGAAGGGTCACAGCATTAGGAAGGGTGAGAACCGCTGGGTTAGAGGAAACTAGCTGTCCCCTGTGAAAAGGTAAAGCATTTTACCTTATGTGAACATAAAACATCTGTCCAGTAGCAGAGTTTTCTCCATGGATAAGCCACACGGCGGGCAACTGCAGGTCTAAGTTTACAGCGTACATTCACACATAGGATTTCAACTCAGACATGCGTCCCTACTAGAACTTTGGACTTCAGAATTTGGCTTTAGTCCATGGTACTTCTGTGTATGTACACGCTCACACACAAAAGCATTTCTACAATTTCAGAATAAACAGACCAGTCATCAAACCAAGAGTTTAAAGTTTAAATATCCCTAAGGGGTCCCAAGAGGGTTTCCACAGTGTGTGTGTGTGTGTGTGTGTGTGTGTGTGTGTGTGTGTGTGATGCAGAGGCTTCACAAGATGTGACGACTGATTCTCAGTAGTTCCACACCAGGGTTTATGGGCACTGGAGAACTGGAAGGGTTAGGCTGGCTTCTGTCATGTTCCTGTCTAGATGTTGGTGACAGGCTCTACAGCCAATTCTGATTGCTACCTAGAGTGGCTGTTTCTGAAGAGGAATTGCATGTGCTATCCCTTTTATTTCTTTTGAAGGGTTTTGGTGCCCTCAGGCCTATGCTGACATTAAGGTGATTGGTGCCTGGGGGTTACATAGAGAAAGAACTTTGAATTTGGTAGGACAGATGGGTGGGAATTAGAAAAGAGGATTTAATCAAGTGAAACTAATGGTATTAGTGGTTCATCCTTTCCAGTTTTGTGACTGATGAGTACAGTTATGCCAGATGGTTTGTTATGACATATTATTCTAATATGTCATAATAAACTTAATAATTTAATAATTTCTTAATTATTTCTTAATAATTTCTCTAGATGTGTGTTTTTGAGCTCCTGAGCTGGGCCAAAAGGCTGAGTACTGGAAATAGTTTTCTGATTAGCCTTCCCCTGGACTTTTGAAGGGCTGTTGCTCCTGCCAGTGTATAGACCCTTACCACTTTTATTCAGACTTTGTGAGCTAGTCTTCCCCTCCAGTCTGAACCAGAACTCATTAGCATAGGGAGCCAGGGATCTTAGCCACACATGTAGAGGCTCTAGGGCAGTGGTTCTCAACCTTCCTAAGGCTGCGACCCTTCAATACAGTTCCTCATGTGGTGGGGACCCCAACCAGAAAGTTATTTTCGTCACTACTATATAACTGATTTACTCTGTTTGCCTATGGTCTTAGGTGACCCCTGTGAAAGGGTCATTCAACCCTCAAAGGGTTAATGACCCACAGGTTGAGAAACACTGTTCTAGTAGATCTGGGTCCTGCACAGGCCCAGCCACACTACCCTCAGGTGCGTAGCAGCTGGGATGGTATGAGGAACTGATGGAGACCATCCTTGGAAGGGGCTTCATCAGGAAGTAGTATTGGTACTTCCTGTTGATTATTGATAGCTCTATTCCCATATATTTATAATCATAGAATAGCTATCATTTTCTAGCAGTGTGCAGTTTATTAAACAACATAAATAGTAGGCCCCGAATTTATACCGTTTTATACTTGTTTTAGAAGTCTTTCTTTTGGCCTGTTAGACAAGGAAAAAAATATTGAGAATTTGACTATCACCAGATGTCAGTGAATCTCAATTCATTCTCTCAATCTCCTTCAGGGGACAGGTCCTAACCAAAGCTGGCACTGAGGAAATGATCCTATACTCAGACATAGGTAAGATCTGCACTGCTGTGGTTCAGGTGTCCTGCTCTTCTATTCTGGTTGATATTTTGGAACTGGTTCTGACGAGCTCTGGGTCTCTGTCTCACTGGGCTTTGTTTGGTTTGAATTGAGCCCGGGACCAGCGCCAGGACAACAGCATCCAGATGAGGCGAATGTTACTGAGTCACTTGCTAAGACTGGTTGTTTTTAGTCTGCGAAAGAATCTCCTTGGTTGGTAAGGAGCTGCAAATTATTCATCATGCATGTTCCTGTTTTTGCAGACCTGAAGAAGCTGGCTGAAATTCGGCAGCAAATTCCCGTTTTAAAACAGAAAAGAGCAGACCTTTATGCAGTAGAGACAAAGAAGCCCTGAAGTTTGTTCCCGACATATCACAAGCAGGATGGTACTCTGTACGATAATCAACTTTACTAAAGCCTTTTTAGGGACAGTGCTGGGGAAATGAACCCAGCCTTACACACGTTAATTCCACCACTGATCTGCATCACAAGCCCCTTATAGAGTGAAGACTTTTCTTTAAATTTCCTTGGTATGATGTTCTAGCTCCCCTTATAAAGAATTACTTAGGCTGGTGGTTCTTAGGCATTTCAGTCTTAAGAACCTTTTGTACAATTAAAACCTGAAGACTAAGCATTCTTGATTGTCTGTGTAGCTAGTGGTAGGCTGGTCAAGGTGTGATACTCAGCTGTCTGAGAAAAAGGACTCTTGTAGGAATACTGATTTCCACAGTGCTAATATCCCAAATGTTTTAAAAAACATTTTTATTAAAATTGGTTTTCATACAATATATTTTGATGTTTTCCCCCTCTCCAACTCCCCCCCCATTCAACTTTGTTTTCTCTTCCAAAAACAAAAAACTCTACAAAAGTGAAAATCAAAACCAACAAGCAAAAGACAAATAGAAATAAAAGCAGTAAGACAAATAGAAATAAAAAGTCCACAAAAAAGAAAACAATGGAGTTTAACATGTTGCTTTTAAACAGTAACAGATGTGCAGCTGGGCTCCGTGGCCTGTACAATACTGCTCTAACACAACTGATTCAATATATAATAGCTATTTACCATACTGGTTAAGTCAAAACTTAAGATAGATAGCGAGATAGCTAGTCAGTCTTACTGTGGTTACTCACAGAAGAGTAACAAAATCAAGTGACTAAAAAATGAAATATATGATTTGGTAAAATTTGGTACACATATAAAACTATGAAATACCAATCAAGAAAGTGAGTATGTGTACTAGAAGTTTCCTATAAGCTTTAAAAATATATTATTCATGTGCATGTGTAGAGATGTCAGGCGCTCAGAGGCCAGAGGAAATCCCCCCGGAGTTTGAGTTAGAAGTATTCATGAGCTGCCCATTGTGGGCGACAGGAATTGAACTCAGGTCCTCCCCCAGAGACCAGGGAGCAGTAAGCACCTTTACCATCTCTCCAGTCCTCCTATAATCTTGTAACCTCTCTAGCTGTTCAACGACTGGTAAGCTTTCCCACCACAGAGTACTTTGAATTTTCTAGAATTATGTAAAAAGTGAATTACAACCTAGTACTTTTATTGGTACAGTTTATCTTACCTGTGCATCAGAGATGTATTCCTTGATGGACATCTGAGTTCTTCGCGGCTTTCAAATCAAAGAGTTAGAAACAAAGGTTTTCATGTCTTTAGGAGTGGAGTGGTGGGTTCAAATATCTACTTCACTGTTAAACTGTTTTCCATAATGGTCATACCATTTTATACTGCTGCCAACAATTGTATGAATTCTAGCTGTCCCCTATTCTCTATCCTCATTGACACTCGGAATGGTTCAATTTTTATTACACTTTCTTTTTTGGAGATGTGCCTTGCTATATAGCCTATACTGGCTTTGAACTTGGAGTTCTCTTACATCCGCCTCCCCAGTGCTGGGATTACAGGCACCATGCCATGACCAGCTTCTTCACTGTTAAGTTTAATATTTCTTGGGCTGGTGAGATGACTCAGTGGCTTTGCAGGCCTGATAACCTAGTTCAGTCCATGGAACCTATGATGGAAGGAGCCAATTCTACAAAGTTGCCTTCTACATGTATGCCTCATACAGTAAGACAAAAGATATTTCTGAAAATTGATTTATCTAATGACTGGTACTAACCTCTTTTCACATGTGTCTTTGGTGAAGTACCAGTTAATACCTTTTGCCCATATTTTTATGGCTTTATCAAGTATTAAGTTGCTTATCTATTTTGATATAAATTCTTTTTCAAGTATTGTTTGACAGTTTCCTACTTCCCACACTGGGGATTAAACAGACTTCACTGCTACACACGTTCTTTCCCACACAGCTGGAACTTCACCCATTCTTAGTATTTCATTATTTTGTGTCTTGTCATGTGACCTTCCTATCTCTGCTTCCTCAGTGCTGAGATTACAGGCTTCTGCCACCATGCCAACTAACTTTTCCCCCCCTTGAGACAGGGTTTCTGTGTACCCACCATGGCTGTTCTGGAATTCACTTTGTAGACCAGGCTGACTTTGAACTCATGGAGATTCACCTGCCTCTGCCTCCTAAGAGGTGGGATTACAGGTGTATCCCTGTAACATCCACCTGTATAATTTTCATTTTTTAAAGAATTATTTGAAGAACAAACATTGTGCATTTTCATGAAGGACAAGTTATTTTTTATTTTTTTAAATGATTATTTTTAGGTGTTTACTTATTTTGCCTGCATGCATGTTTGCACAGCACATGTGTCTGGTGCCTGACTCTAGAAGCTAGATCTACAGCTAGTTACAGACAGTTTGTGAGCTGCCACATATGGGTGCAGAAACCAACCCCCTCCAGCCCTCCTTTATCTCCTTTTGAAGTTTGTTCTTTTTCTGTTGTGTATCAAACCCCAAATCACTAAGACTTTATTTGGTGTGCTCTGACATTTATGGCTTTAGCTTACAATCACAAGTCCACCCCCTAAACAGTATGAAGAACGGAGCTCCACGACAACATCTAACAGGTGGTTTTCTAGGCTGCTGTACAAGTATAAGATACAGATAAAGGACGAAGGAAGGGGTTCTTCAGCTACTGCTCTCCAGAGAGCTTTGTTTCATTGTTACAGGAATGAATAGTCGTAGGATTTTCCCAACCATACTAATACAAACTTGTATATGTCTATTTACAAAGTTAGTTTTAACCAACAAGAGACTGACTGAAAAGGGTATTAGTTAATAAATGAACAAACTACCTATCTCTGTTACAAGAATAGATAGAAAAGCTTGAATGTAGTATTTATTTTGTGAATTTACATGTGAAGCCATTTACAAAAGAAAAGATACAGACAGATGCAGCTTTAGTGCAGTTTCAAATATGTTCACAACAGGCAAAAAAGTTGGTGAGTATTTGGAATGACAGGATTGAATGGCACATGCTTCATTGTTTCCTACCCAGCCCCAAGAAAGAAAGGAGCAGAGTAGAAAAATGTCAGTATCAATGTAAATACAGCCATGCACATAAAAAAAAAAACTTTTTAAGCGAAGAGGTCACATTCAGAGATGTAGGACATTCCTGTATTTAGGGTTATCATCATTGGAGAATTATTTCAGAACAAAACGAAGAGCTCTCCAACTTTCCATTATCCCAATCAATCACCTTAAATTATATTAACTGCCCCTACTGAAATCAGCCACAGGCTTACCAATATTGTCCAAAGACTACCTTTGAAAGAGGAGTCATTTCTAATAGTTTCTAAAAAGACAGCCTTTGTAGACAGAATCATTTGGTTTCGGTGGGATGAAGCACCCTTTTAAATAAGAGTGTAAAATGCTCCTTTCCTCTCAACCATGTAAACTATAGTTAGACGTCATGTCCATAAGTCTCAACAGACTTGCTCGTTTTTTAAATCATTTCAGGTAAATAAACCTCTACCTGTCCTGGATCTTGGAAACAGACTCTAAGAATCCGCACCCCCTCCCCACACACACACCAGAAAAATCCAGCATATAAATAAGCAAAAGGATAGTCTGTGAAAGTAATGAATGGAAACATACCTTAGTGATTCCAAAGAGGATGAGGTACAGATAAAAATGAACAGAACAAAAGTAAAGTCAGCTGTCAGTATCCCTGGAGATGTGGACATGGACCACAGTCCTTAGAGGTCAAGGTTACCTCAATACAAAAAGTACTCTATGTATTGGACAGCTCTGAAAATACTGGCTCAAAATCCCTTAAGTTAATACAGCCACAGCTAAAGCATTAAACTTGTCATTTCAAAAAAGTATGCTCTGGCTCCAGGACTGACATCCTTTTTGAACCTTTACCATATTTCTGTCACTAAAAAATTTAAACTAATTAAATATTCCTATATATCATCACATGTACTCCATCTGTATGTGGGTTGTTCACATACACCCACTTTCTTTAAAAAGCACACTATTAAATAGTACTTACTATGGAATAGGCACGGGCAATTATATACACATCTCTTATCTTACCTTCCTTGTTCAGTCCCTCATTAATAGTCTTCCCGTACAAGTATCAATCAGAATAGTTTGCTTCTGCATAATTTACTAAAGTACTACAGAATCAGAGGCACTGTGCATGCTGACAATAGCTTAAAGTCTTTCAATTTTACTGAAATCCATATTGAAGCTTTTCATCCTTCAAAAAAATTAAAAAGGATTAATTGAATATAAAAGAAGTCTATTTTACAGCACTTACTTTGTTAAAGACCAACATACTATAAAACACTCATATTATACAAACAGCTATAAAAACAAAATCAGAACATAATCCCCACCCCAATATAAAAAAAGCAAATCAACAAATCAAAGTTTTTATTTGCATGGCCAATTACTGTTTGTATTCTACAGGTTTGTTTTCATATCCCTTTAACAGGTTCTAAGCTCTTGTTGCACAGGGAATAAAAGCTGCGAGACTGCAAACTTCCTTCAGCAGCCACGCCCACAACACCTAAACATGAAACAGATGTAATGAATGACAACATCACAAAGGGATCTGGAGTTCCACCATTCAACACAGTTCATGACAGTGTGTTCAGGGTTCAGTTGAAGGGGGTAAACTTCTTTTAAAAAGAGTCAGTCTGCTTTCCCCTTGGTTTTATAATGTCGGTGGTTTTAATCCATATTTCTTTGCTACTTCTGTCTGGGCATGGGCAGCATCGCAAAGTGAATACAGATGAGCCATCTCCATTTCTGATTTGGCCAGGTTGATAGCTTTGTTGAACATGTCAATGGCTTTCTCCATGTTTCCTCTAAAAAAAAAATCAAAATTTCAGAGTCTTTAACAAGCACTTTTCAATGACCAATAAAGTTTAACTGTGCTGCATGAAGCCTTCAACTATAATTCTAATAAAATGGCTTTTTTCATAATAAATGAGAGTGCCTAGCACAGCACACTGAAAGTACCAATGAAGTCTAACTATTCTTAAAAATACTATTCTATATTATCTTGTATCCTTCGTTTAAATACGGTAAGATTAGGGCAATTAAAATATTATTTAAAAACCACAATTCTTCCTGGGGCCATAGAAGTCTCCATGTTTCTGCTGAAATGTGAGACTTGTGGCAAAAACCTCAGAGAACACTAGTAGCCCTCAGAGGCCTGCCCCTTAAAGGACCACGTAAGCCCACACTCTTATTAGCTCATCTCTTACCCCCAAATGCTCAAACCTGTGAACTTCTATGTAGTCACAGGTCAATCTCAGTTCCTTAATCATGCCAAACCTCAAATCTTTGCCTTCTAGGACCTACTTCAAACAGTGTAACTTTACACAAAATACTCCCCCCACCTTCTCTTCCCAGAAGAATTAACCACTTTATTCCCAATATTCCCCAGAGTTCTACTGTCCCTATATTCATAGGCTGATCAATGTTCACACCATCTACTAGCTCACTGATGGGTACCTTTCAGTTCCCTCAACTAATAAATGGATGAACATGCTGTGGCTAACAAAGTTTACTACCTCTTACATTTATGTAAATTTTATAGTTACTAAGAAACAACTGTTATCAAAGTCAATATTATGTAACTGTCAGTTAGACTGTAAGAACCCCTAAAGGTAACCATATTTATCTTCCTACAGCATATGGCTAACATAATTAACTACTTTAGGAGTTCATATGGGGCTATCTTTTCAGTAGCTACAGACCTACAAAATTTAGCAGAACCAGCAATGCCAATCATTCAATTTTAAGGTAGGATTTACAATGAACTCTTTCCCTTTTTGAGACAAGATTTCTAGCCCAGCCTTACCTAAAACTCCCTATGTAGCCTAGAAGAACCCTGAACTTCTCTGATCCTTCTGCCTCAACCTCCAGAGTTCTTTCAGAAGTCTGTCCCCATACCCAGTTGTAGTGCTGGGGAATGGACTCAGGACCACAGGTATTCTGGGCAAGCATTCTATCAACTTAGCTCTATTCCCAATGGACTTCCAAAGTACAGTTTAACTCATAAAATTCCCTCAACCCTCATCCTTTTAAGGCAATGTCTATGAATACCTTAAATTAAATGTGATGTGTTTTTATATGTACTAATCTAAGAAGAATCCAGAGCTTTGCTCAAGCATAATTAGGAACCACTCTTCTATCCTAGTAAAACATTATTTTATTTGCAGTAACTAGTAGTTAAGAATAGGTATTTGTATATACCCGCCACCAGAAGAACCACAATGTTCACCAGTCTTTTGGAGGAAAGAGAGCCACAGGAAGGGCAGCCAATAGGAACTAGGAAGACCTGTGCTGACTCCTGACAAGTGATAGTGGCAAGATTAGTCACCTTGACCTCAGTGAAGTATGGACTCAAATCTGTCCTCACTAATATCTCAGGGTGACTTTGTTAGCCTCGTCAGCCTGACTATTAGTTTCTGTACTCTTTAATCGTATATTGGGATCATAAAAAGACAGGGGAGTAGGTCAACAGAAGTGAGATTTGGAAGACACTGACCTTCAGTACTTGGTCTAGAATATGTACTGGAGGAAATGCCAGTATTAAGATGGTATAGTCCACTACATACATAGCTGTCAAGAGTCAACGATCTTAAGTGCAATTCTTGGTAAATAGTTACACAAAACAAATAATGGGAAGTCAGAGCTGTAAGAAATCCAGCCAAACCAAGGTTTTCGTGAAAATTCAGAAGATGGTACAACTTGTCCAGTTTCTTGGCTGGTTGCTTCTTTGTAGCAGGATCCAGAACCCACTTTGGCCTGGCTGTGTTCCTTGTAACTGACACCGACTAAACCAGGGGTTTCTGGTCTTCCCACAGGAACAATCAAAGTGAAAAAAGAAATCATACACCATACATAAAGACCCAGTCTCACTTTTTAAGGGACAAGCATGACAGCTTTTACAAATATAACTTTTAATTTGGAAAAATAATGAAATGAGGCAAATCCAATGTCCCTAATTTTTAGGGAAGTGTGCATCAAAAGTCCAGCAAAGTTTAAAAATTTAATGGCTATCGATTGATAATCAAATGTATGAAATGAGAACAAAACCCAAAATCTATGGCGCTTCATTACATTTCTAAGAAGAAACTCTAGAAATTACCTCTGCACTTCAATGGTTCCCATGGTTTCATATGCAAAATCACATTTGTTGTCAATTTCAATAGCTTTGCTGATAAGCTCCAAACCTTTGTCCAAATCTTGCTTCCACTGAAGTTGAAGTAAACTGGGAATAAAAAAAGGGCAGTTAGATGGACCCAGTACTGACAGAAATAGAAAGGTATGGTTTGGTTTCTGCCCTCCATAAACACATAACTTAATTCCTAAGGAAAAGCAGACTAAAACAGAACACAGTCAACACCACCCTGGAGGCTTTCGGTCCTGACTTCTGATGGTGAATTGTAGCCACAGATCATGGTCGAAACTTATTGCCTCTCTATTTCTAAGAAAGAGGGACAACTGATTTTGTATGGAAACACCAAGAGTGACTGACTGCTTCCAAGTCCCTACCTCTCTCCCTTCCACCCTCGTCCTGGAACCGGTTTTGACTGTGGAATCCAGTCCTAGTTTTACTCCTGGCCTCAGGTCCCAGGGGAATGTTGTGTGTCTGGGTCTCATTTCATTATCTCTTTTCTACTCTTTATTTTTATGTTTATGTGTGCTTCTTGACACATATGTTCAAGTTCTAATAGAGGCCAAAGAGGGTGTCAGATCCCCTGGAGCTGGAGTTATAGGTAGTTTAGAGTTGCCTGATGACATGGATGTTGGGATCTCAACTTGGGTCCTCTGGAAAATAAGTACTGTTCTTAACTGCTGAGCAATCTCTCCAGTCCCATCCAGACTTAATTTTAGTTTTTTCCCCCCTTACACTCCACCCAAATATCTAACAAATACAATAATTATTTTAAGCTTAATTTTTTGGGAAAGGTTCTCACTAGCTCAGGTTGGCTTCAAACTTAAGATCCTTCTGCCTCAGCTTCTCTGTATTTTAATTTTTATATAGCTTATTTTCCTGCAACAACAACAACAACAACAACAACACACACACACACACACACACACACACACACACACACACACACTACAAATTAGTTTTGCAGATGGCCATGATGGTACCCACTTTAATCCCAGCACTTGCAAGGCAGATGGAAGTGATCTTCATGCATTCAAAGTTAGCTAGGACTACATAATAAGGCTGTCTCCAAACAAACACACCAACAAGCTTGCATCCCAAGAGTCTTCCACAACATACTACAATTAAAATGACTAGTTTCATAGTTAGTCATAGCAGAAATATTATGAACTTACAAACTATTGGTAAATTTAGGCTGCGTATCACGGAACAATCTACGACCACTGTTTTCAAATACTGTTTAATAAATTCCCCCATTTTGGTTGGGGAGGCTGACACAGACAAGGTGTAAAGTGAGAACTGTCCCCTCACATCCATCATGGCAAGCATGTGTCCACATTCACACATATCACACATGCACACATATCACATGCTAAAAAATTTACATACTGTAAGAAATCAATCAATTCATTCATTGATATGTCTACTCTGAATCATTTCTGTAAGGCTAAAAGAAATACTCTATTACTGTGAAAGAAATGTTAGTGTCTTATTGGAACAAACAGAACCAGAAAAATACATACCCTTTATGAACATAAGTTGTAGCATTATCTGGTTCCAAATCAATACATTTATCATACATTTCATCAGCTTTACCAAATTGTTGTTGATCTGTTAATGCCTATGTGAAGAGAAACTTCAGTTATATATATTAATGTAATCGCTAACCTGAAAGTTAAAAGTATACTGTTTATTAAATATTTAAGTTTATTTACCATCAAATTACTGTTTGAAATTGATTTAAGCCAGTTTAAACTTGACATCTTAATTATTCAAGTTTTTAGGTTGTGCCTACTATAACTATGTGATCCTAACCGTCCTGTCTTTTCAGGAGTAGCTAAATGAAATCAGACAGTGTGGGAGCTGAAGAACCCAGGAGCCTACTTTAACGATAGCTATCTCATCACATTTTCACAAGTCTATACTTGTACGTATTATAGTAATAGTAAGGGAATTAGTCTAAGGGCTAGACTCATTTCAAAGGGTGCATTATAAATGTATGTTCACTGTCATCAGATTTTCATGGCTACCAGAGCATATTAACTTGGAGATGTGCTAGCACCTAACCCAAGCATTGAGAGTTAAAACAAAATTGATCCTGTATCCTGTATGTTCTCCTGTGCAAGGATGACAGGCAATTTCATTAAGTAAATAGTTCTGAAAACTATTTTATTATGTGATGTAAACTAGACTCAGAAAGACAAATATCACATGATCTATCTCATGTGCATAACCAAGCGTTGAATTTTTATATGTTTATACATGAGTATAAGTACATGGTTACAGGTCATGAAACTAGAAAGCGGACCACTAATGTGTAAAAAGAGGTTTGAGAGACAAATGGGTAAACAGAATACATGTAGCATAAAAGTAAAACAGCAATCAAAAGGGTTACTTTGTATGCTAATTAACGAGATTTTAAACAAACAAAAGAGAAAGTAAACAATTACAGCTTAGATAACCATTTAAAGGGCTTTGATAGAGCAAAAAGACCCCCATTCCATGGATATTTTCCCTATCATTTAAGTAAAGAGTAAATTTTCTGGAGGCAATTTTGCCAATCCAGTCCTACTAAAAGCACAAGAGAAATGCTTGCCCAGAGCTTCTCTGCCTTCTGAGCTTAGTGTCAGTTTCCAGACTGTATGACTCAGGACCATAACAATCAAAGCAGAAACAACACTGCCTACATCCACAGAAACTGTGATCAGGCTAGCACAATTCCACATGGGATCCAGTTTACGAATGCAGTTCTTAAAAAAATA